GTGTATGGGTAAGTGTGTATGGGTAGGTGTGTATGTGTAGGTATGTATGGGTAGATGTGTATGGGTAGATGTGTATGGGTAGATGTGTATGTATGTATGGGTAGATGTGTACGGGTAGATGTGCATGGGTAAATGTGTATGGGTAGGTGTGTAGGTGTGTATGGGTACATGTGTATGGGTAGGTGTGTATGCGTTGATAGGTATGTGTAGGTATGTATGGGTAGATGTGTATGGGTAGATGTGTATGGGTACATGTGTATGGGTAGGTGTGTATGGGTAGATAGGTATGTGTAGGTATATATGGGTAGATGTGTATGTATGTATGGGTATATGTGTATGGGTAGGTATTTATGGGTAGGTAGGTATGGGTAGATGTGTATGGGTAGATGTGTATGTATGCATGGGTAGATGTGTATGTGTAGGTATGTATGGGTAGATGTGTATGGGTAAGTGTGTATGGGTAGGTGTGTATGTGTAGGTATGTATGGGTAGATGTGTATGTATGTATGGGTAGATGTGTATGGGTAGATGTGTATGGGTAGATGTGTATGTATGTATGGGTAGATGTGTATGGGTAGGTGTGTATGGGTAGATAGGTATGTGTAGGTATGTATGGGTAGATGTGTATGGGTAGATGTTTATGTATGGGTAGATGTGTATGTGTATGGGTAGGTGTGTATGGAAAGATAGGTATGTGTAGGTATGTATGGGTAGATGTGTATGTATGTATGGGTAGATGTGTATGGGTAGGTAGGTATGGGTAGATGTGTATGTATGGGTAGATGTGTATGGGAAGATAGGTATGTGTAGGTATGTATGGGTAGATGTGTATGTATGTATGTATGGGTAGATGTGTATGGGTAGATGTGTATGGGTAGGTATGTATGGGTAGATGTGTATGTATGTATGGGTAGATGTGTATGTATGTATGGGTAGATGTGTATGGGTAGGTATGTATGGGTAGATGTGTATGGGTAGGTATGTATGGGTAGATGTGTATGGGTAGATGTGTATGGGTAGGTAGGGAAGTATGGGTAGGTGTGTATGGGAAGATAGGTATGTGTAGGTATATATGGGTAGATGTGTATGTATGTATGGGTAGATGTGTATGGGTAGGTAGGTATGGGTAGATGTGTATGGGTAGATGTGTATGTATGGGTAGATGTGTATGGGAAGATAGGTATGTGTAGGTATGTATGGGTAGATGTGTATGTATGTATGTATGGGTAGATGTGTATGGGTAGATGTGTATGGGTAGATGTGTATGGATGTATGGGTAGATGTGTATGTATGTATGGGTAGATGTGTATGTATGTATGGGTAGATGTGTATGGGTAGGTATGTATGGGTAGATGTGTATGGGTAGATGTGTATGGGTAGGTAGGGAAGTATGGGTAGATGTGTATGGGTAGATGTGTATGTATGTATGAGTAGATGTTTATGTGTAGATGTGTATGTATGGGTAGATTTGTATGTGACGTATGTATGGGTAGATGTGTATGGGTAGATGTGTATGTATGTGTAGATGTGTATGGGTAGATGTGTATGGGTAGGTATGTATGGGTAGATGTGTATGGGTAGATGTGTATGGTAGGTAGGTATGTATGGGTAGATGTGTATGGGTAGATGTGTATGTATGTATGAGTAGATGTTTATGTGTAGATGTGTATGTATGAATGGGTAGATGTGTATGTGTAGATGTGTATGGGTAGATGTGTATGTATGGGTAGGTGTGTATGGAAAGATAGGTATGTGTAGGTATGTATGGGTAGATGTGTATGTATGTATGTATGTATGGGTAGATGTGTATGGGTAGATGTGTATGGGTAGGTGTGTATGGGTAGATAGGTATGTGTAGGTATGTATGGGTAGATGTGTATGGGTAGATGTTTATGTATGGGTAGATGTGTATGTGTAGGTGTGTATGGAAAGATAGGTATGTGTAGGTATGTATGGGTAGATGTGTATGTATGTATGGGTAGATGTGTATGTATGTATGTATGGGTATATGTGTATGGGTAGGTAGGTATGGGTAGATGTGTATGGGTAGATGTGTATGTATGGGTAGATGTGTATGGGAAGATAGGTATGTGTAGGTATGTATGGGTAGATGTGTATGTATGTATGTATGGGTAGATGTGTATGGGTAGATGTGTATGTATGTATGGGTAGATGTGTATGTATGTATGGGTAGATGTGTATGTATGTATGGGTAGGTATGTATGGGTAGATGTGTATGGGTAGATGTGTATGGGTAGGTAGGGAAGTATGGGTAGATGTGTATGGGTAGATGTGTATGTATGTATGAGTAGATGTTTATGGGTAGATTTGTATGTGACGTATGTATGGGTAGATGTGTATGGGTAGATGTGTATGTATGTGTAGATGTGTATGGGTAGGTGTGTATGGGTAGATAATTATGTGTAGGTATATATGGGTAGATGTGTATGGGTAGATGTGTATGTGTAGGTATGTATGGGTAGATGTATATGGGTAGATGTGTATGGGTAGGTGTGTATGTGTAGGTGTGTATGGGTAGATGTGTATGTATGTATGTATGTATGGGTAGATGTGTATGGGTAGATGTGTATGTATGTACAGTGGGGGAAAAAAGTATTTAGTCAGCCACCAATTGTGCAAGTTCTCCCACTTAAAAAGATGAGAGGCCTGTAATTTTCATCTTAGGTACACGTCAACTATGACAGACAAATTGAGAAAAAAAAATCCAGAAAATCACATTGTAGGATTTTTAATGAATTTATTTGCAAATTATGGTGGAAAATAAGTATTTGGTCAATAACAAAAGTTTCTCAATACTTTGTTATATACCCTTTGTTGGCAATGACACAGGTCAAACGTTTTCTGTAAGTCTTCACAAGGTTTTCACACACTGTTGCTGGTATTTTGGCCCATTCCTCCATGCAGATCTCCTCTAGAGCAATGATGTTTTGGGGCTGTCGCTGGGCAACACAGACTTTCTCATTTTCTCTGTCATAGTTGACGTGTACCTATGATGAAAATTACAGGCCTCTCATCTTTTTAAGTGGGAGAACTTGCACAATTGGTGGCTGACTAAATACTTTTTTCCCCCACTGTATGGGTAGATGTGTATGGGTAGATGTGTATGTATGTATGGGTAGATGTGTATGGGTAGATGTGTATGGGTAGATGTGTATGTATGGGTAGATGTGTATGTATGGGTAGATGTGTATGGGTAGGTATGTATGGGTAGATGTGTATGGGTAGATATGTATGGGTAGGTATGTATGGGTAGATGTGTATGGGTAGGTATGTATGGGTAGATGTGTATGTATGTATGGGTAGATGTTTATGTGTAGATGTGTATGTATGTATGGGTAGATGTGTATGTGTAGATGTGTATGGGTAGATGTGTATGTATGGGTAGATGTGTATGTATGGGTAGATGTGTATGGGTAGATGTGAATGTGTAGATGTGTATGGGTAGATGTGTATGGATAGATGTGTATGTGTAGATGTGTATGTGTGTGGGTAGGTGTGTATGGGTAGGTGTGTATGTGTGTATGGGTAGGTATGTGTGTGTGTGGGTAGATGTGTATGTGTGTGTGGGTAGATGTGTATGTGTGTGTGTAGATGTGTGTATGGGTAGGGGTGGGTAGGGGTGTGTGTATGGGTAGATGTGTATGGGTAGATGTGAATGTGTAGATGTGTATGGGTAGATGTGTATGGGTAGATGTGTATGGATAGATGTGTATGTGTAGATGTGTATGTGTGTGGGTAGGTGTGTATGGGTAGGTGTGTGTGTGTGTGTGGGTAGGTGTGTATGTGTGTATGGGTAGGTATGTGTGTGTGTGGGTAGATGTGTATGTGTGTGTGGGTAGATGTGTATGTGTGTGTGTAGATGTGTAGATGTGTATGTGTGTATCGGTAGGGGTGTGTGTATGGGTAGGTGTGTATGGGTAGGTGTGTGTGTGTATGGGTAGGTGTGTGTGTGTAGCAGGAACAGTGGTGTGGTGAGTAAATATGTGTTGCTCTCTTAGTGCCTCCATATTTCAGAGGCCTAGTGGGGGATTTATGTCCATCTGCCCCTGACAGTTTCCCCCTCCGTCTCCCCACAGATAAATTAGCTGCACTACAGACACACACACACACTTACACACACCCACGCACCCACCCACGCGCAGGCACACACGCAATCACGCACACAAACGTTGTACGTACACAACGCACCAGAGGCAAATACAACACACACATTTGATACAATACAGGATACACTAATCATATGACCGTGTATACATGAGCACATAGAACTAACACACAAACAGAGAGGGAAATAGATGCATCCTTTACAACCCTAATAGCAGCAGCAGCAATCGCTGGGCAGAGGGGGATGGGGAATGTAGTTTTACAGTCTTATCCATTGAGGCAGTGTCAGGGCTGATGGGATATGTAGTTTGTAAGCAGTTGGGTGTCAGGGCTTGAAGTGGTGAATGATTGAAAATGTAATTTGTAAGCAGCTGAGTGTCAAGTGCTTGAAGCGGTGCATGATGGGATATGTAGTTTGTACGCAGGGTTGGTTTGGGCTGGGAGTAGTGCATGCTGGGATATGTCGTTTGTACGCAGGGTTGGTTTGGGCTGGGAGCAGTGCATGCTGGGATATGTAGTTTGTAAGCAGCAGCTGGTTGTGACTAGGCTGCACTGAGACCTCAACCAGTGGATGTAAATGAGTCTCTGCCTCCTCATCAGTCTCCCTTTACCCCGGACAGGTCTGAGAGGGGGTGGGCTGACCCCCTCAAACCTCCCCACCCCTGCCACCAACTCTATCCTCCTCGGTCTCTTTGCCCCCATCTCAAAACATGGAACCCAAAATCAACAGTAACATATCTAACACACAGGTCCAGTTGGTGGCCTGGTAAAGACATGGTCAGGTAAATCATACAGTAGTCATTGTGAGACAGTGAAGGGTAAATAGAAGTGAATCCAACAGATCTACGCTGACTAACAAGTAGTTGACTGTACCTTATTCCGAGGTTCATGGTCTCCGCAGTCCCGATCATCCCAATCGCTAACAGCATGTTGTTACAGATCTTAGCTGCCTGTGAGACAAAAAGCAGACTTATTGTAATGAGAGAGTGACCAACTATACAATAATGTTTGAGTGTATGAAAATGGTAAATTTGTATGCAAACTTGTAAGTACACTAGAGTGTGTTAGTTACCTGTCCCGTGCCGACCTGTCCACAGTACACTACGTTAGCGCCCATACAGGTGAGGAGCTCATGGGCTGCAGTGTACTCCTCCTCTACCCCTCCTACCATGAAGGTTAGATTAGCCAGGCTGGCTGCTCCCACACCTACAGCACACAATACATGGTCAGTACACACTAGTATTGCACAATACACTACCGGTCAAAATATTTAGAACACTTACTCATTCAAGGGTTTTTATTTTTTACTAGCTTTTACATTGTAGAATAATAGTGAAGACATCAAAACTATGAAATAACACATATGGAATCATGTAGTAACCAAAAAAGTGTTAAACAAATCTAAATATATTTGAGATTCTTCAAATAGCCACCCTTTGCCTTGATGACAGCTTTGCACACTCTTGGCATTCTCTCAACCAGGTTCATGAGGTAGTCACCTGGAATGCATTTCAATTAACAGGTGTGCCTTCTTAAAAGTAAATTTGTGGAATTTCTTTCCTTCTTAATGTGTTTGAGCAAAATCAGCTGTGTTGTGACAAGGTAGGGGGGTATACAGAAGATAGCCCTATTTGGTAAAAGACCAAGTCCATATTATGGAAAGAACAGCTCAAATAAGCAAAGAGAAACGACAGTCCATCATTACTTTAAGTCATGAAGGGCAGTCAATACGGAACATTTCAAGAACTTTGAAAGTTTCTTCAAGTGCAGTCACAAAAACCATCAAGCGCTATGTTGAAACTGGCTCTCATGAGGACCACCACAGGAATGGAAGACCCAGAGTTACCTCTGCTGCAGAGGATAAGTTCATTAGAGTTACCAGCCTTAGAAATTGCAGCCCAAATAAATGCTTCAGAGTTCAAGTAACAGACACATCTCAATATCAACAGTTCAGAGGGGACTGTGTGAATGAGGCCTTCATGGTCAAATTGCTGCAAATAAACCACTACTAAAGGACACCAATAAGAAGAAGAGACCTGCTTGGGCCAAGAAACACGAGCAATGGACATTAGACCGGTGGAAATGTGTCCTTTGGTCTGGAGTCCAAATTTGAGATTTATGGTTCCAACCGCTGTGTCTTTGTGAGACGCGGTGTGGGTGAACGGATGATCTCTGCATGTGTATTTCCCACCGTAAAGCATGGAGGATGAGTTGTTATGGTGTGGGCGTGCTTTGCTGGTGACACTGTCTGTGATTCCCTTAGAATTCAAAGCACACTTAACCAGCAAGGCTACCACAGCATTCTGCAGCGATATGCCATCCCATCTGGTTTGGGCTTAGTGGGACTATCATTTGTTTTTCAACAGGACAATGACCCAACACACCTTCAGGCTGTGTAAGGGCTATTTTACCAAGAAAGAGAGTGATGGAGTGCTGCATTAGATGACCTGGCCTCCACAATCCCCCGACCTCAACCCAATTGAGATGGTTTGGGATGAGTCGGACCGCAGAGTGAAGGAAAAGCAGCCAACAAGTGCTCAGCATATGTGGGAACTCCTTCAAGACTGTTGGAAAAACATTCCAGGTGAAGCTGGTTGAGAGAATGCCAAGAGTGTGCAAAGGGTGGCTATTTGAAGAATCTCAAATATATTTTGATTTGTTTAACTATTTTTTGGTTATTACATGTGTTATTTCATAGTTTTGATGTCTTCACTATTATTCTACAATGTAGAAAATAGTAAAAATAAAGAAAAACCCTTGAATGAGTAGGTGTCCAAACTTTTGACTGATACTGTATATATAAAATGTACATATATATAATAAATAAATATAATATACATATATGATGGGATGTATAGACATTGTGGACAGTATATAGATAGAATATATATTATACCTGAAGAATACATATGATAGAATAGTATACATTGCATTCGGAAAGTATTCAAAACCCTAGACTTTTTCCACATTTTGTTATGTTACAGCCTTATTCTAAAATTGATTAAATAGTTTCCCCCCTCATCAATCGATTCACAATACCCTATAATGACAATGCAAAAACAGGATTTAGGACATGTTTGCAAAGTTATTAAAAATTAAAAACGGACCCATTATTCAGTACTTTGATGAAGCACCTTTGGCAGCGATTAGAGCCTAGAGTCTTCTTGGGTATTACGCTACAAGCTTGGCACACTTGTATTTGGGAAGTTTCTCCCATTCATCTCTGCAGATTCTATCAAGCTCTGTCAGGTTGGATAGGGAGCGTCGCTGCACAGCTATTTTCAGGTCTCTCCAGAGATGTTCGATCGGGTTCTGGCTGGGCCACTCAAGGACATTCAGAGACTTGTCCCGAAGCCATTCCTGCGTTTTCTTGGCTGTGTGTATAGGGTTGTTGACCTGTTGGAAGGTGAACCTTCGCCCCAGTCTGAGGTCCTGAGCGCTCTGGAGCAGGTTTTCATTAAGGATCTCTCTGTACTTTGCTCCGTTCATCTTTCCCTCGATCGTGACTAGTCTCCCAGTCCCTGCCGCCGAAAAACATCCCCACAGCATGATGCTGCCATCACCATGCTTCACCGTAGGGATGGTGCCAGGTTTCCTACAGACGTGACGCTTGGCATTCAGGCCAAAGAGTTCAATCTTGGTTTCATCAGACCAGAGAATCTTGTTTCTCATGGTCAGACTCCTTTAGGTGCCTTTTGGCAAACTCCAAGTGGGCTGTCATGTGCCTTATACTGAGGAGTGGCTTCCGTCTGGCCACTCTACCATAAAGGCCTCATTGGTGGAGTGCTGCAGAGATGGTTGTCCTTCTGTTCAGTTCCTTAAAACTGTTTAGGTCTACATTCATTTTAGGATTTTAAAAAATTGTATTAACTTTATTTTCATGTAGATAAACTTTACCTAATAGCGGGAGTATTTACTAATGATTATAAGCAATTGTTTTGCTAACTGTCTATTAAACGTTCTTCATCTCGTTCCAACTAATGATGCGCAGGGGTGTAGAACACTATAGGCTATGCCACTAAAGTCACAAAATAATTTGATGGTATCGACTTTCTTTTATACAATGCATGTTTTCATTGCTTGCTAGTAAATAAATAAATAAATCTGTCTTCTTTGAAAAAAAAAAAAGGTTGGATGTGTCTGACTATTGATTAATTATTTAACAGTGGTCGACAAGGTTGTTCTGGCTCTAAGGCCTATAATGCGCTAATATTGTGTCAAATGGACAATGCCCAATCCTCTCCAACCTGGTATGGTATAATTTGATATGGAATATTTTCTTTAAATTTATAGACTAAATCAAGGCTGATCATGCCAGGTCCTGTCCAATATGCCGTCCTAGGAGAGACCAAACAAAATGCCGCCCTCCTATCCCTGCAAAGTAGAATAGTAGCCTAGGATATACAGTGAGGGAAAAAAGTATTTGATCCCCTGCTGATTTTGTACGTTTGCCCACTGACAAAGAAATGATCAGTCTATAATTTTAATGGTAGGTTTATTTGAACAGTGAGAGACAGAATAACAACAACAAAATCCAGAAAAACGCATGTCAAAAATGTTATAAATTGATTTGCATTTTAATGAGGGAAATAAGTATTTGACCCCCTCTCAATCAGAAAGATTTCTGGCTCCCAGGTGTCTTTTTATACAGGTAACGAGCTGAGATTAGGAGCACACTCTTAAAGGGAGTGCTCCTAATCTCAGTTTGTTACCTGTATAAAAGACACCTGTCCACAGAAGCAATCAATCAATCAGATTCCAAACTCTCCACCATGGCCAAAGAGCTCTCCAAGGATGTCAGGGACAAGATTGTGGACCTACACAAGGCTGGAATGGGCTACAAGACCATCGCCAAGCAGCTTGGTGAGAAGGTGACAACAGTTGGTGCGATTATTCGCAAATGGAAGAAACACAAAAGTACTGTCAATCTCCCTCGGCCTGGGGCTCTGTGCAAGATCTCACCTCGTGGAGTTGCAATGATCATGAGAATGGTGAGGAATCAGTCCAGAACTACACGGGAGGATCTTGTCAATGTTCTCAAGGCAGCTGGGACCATAGTCACCAAGAAAACAATTGGTAACACACTACGCCGTGAAGGACTGAAATCCTGCAGCGCCCGCAAGGTCCCCCTGCTCAAGAAAGCACATATACAGGGCCGTCTGAAGTTTGCCAATGAACATCTGAATGATTCAGAGGAGAACAGGGTGAAAGTGTTGTGGTCAGATGAGACCAAAATCGTGCTCTTTGGAATCAACTCAACTCGCCGAGGTGGAAACATTATGCTTTGGGGGTGTTTTTCTGCTAAGGGGACAGGACAACTTCACCGCATCAAAGGGACGATGGACGGGGCCATGTACCATCAAATCTTGGGTGAGAACCTCCTTCCCTCAGCCAGGGCATTGAAAATGGGTTGTGGATGGGTATTCCAGCATGACAATGACCCAAAACACACAGCTAAGGCAACAAAGGAGTGGCTCAAGAAGAAGCACATTAAGGTCCTGGAGTGGCCTAGCCAGTCTCCAGACCTTAATCCATAGAAAATCTGTGGAGGGAGCTGAAGGTTCGAGTTGCCAAATGTCAGGCTCGAAACCTTAATTACTTAGAGAAGATCTGCAAAGAGGAGTGGAACAAAATCCCTCCTGAGATGTGTGCAAACCTGGTGGCCAACTACAAGAAACGTCTGACCTCTGTGATTGCCAACAAGGGTTTTGCCACCAAGTACTAAGTCATGTTTTGCAGAGGGGTCAAATACTTATTTCCCTCATTAAAATGCAAATCAATTCATAATATTTTTGCCTTGCGTTTTTCTGGATTTTTTTGTTGTTATTCTGTCTCTCACTGTTCAAATAAACCTACCATTAAATTATAGACTGATAATTTCTTTGTCAGTGGGCAAACATACAAAATCAGCAGGGGATCAAATATTTGTGTTGGCCCGCAATGCACTTTTATGAATGCCCATGGGGTAACCAACCGTTTGTAAAAAAAGGCAATTTACCGTTAATCCCTGTCATTTGGTTACATTAATGCATGTATTAACTACAGTAATTTACCGTTCTCATTCTCGGAGTGGATGTTTTTTTTTGCAGAGTTCAGAACCTGCTACACTTGTGAGAATCAAGTTTTGGTTTATTTCATACCATAATTTACGCGCTCCATGTGAGCAATGAGCATGTGTCTGGTTTCTCTGTCCTTTTAATGTAGACTGAGCACGCATAGAAGTACCTGGCCTGCTTCTCGCAAATGTCAAATGTAGGAAAGTGCCCAGCTGGGCGCAGTCATTTTTTTCAACTAAGTCAGTTATATATATATATTTTTTACATCCATTCAAATTATAATACTTCCTCACAATATTTGAAAAATATTTCCAACACTCTCTCCCTTGATAATCAGCGTCGCTGATAAATAGGCTACGGACGTTGAGTGTATTTGTTTCTATTTTAATAACTGTCAATGTCATCTTCATACGATATCACAGCTGTCCCCTTCATACTTTCCTTGTCAATTCTTTATCTTAGATCCTATTTTCAGAAAGCCTAAGGTAGGCCTAGGTTTTTTAATACGTTAAGGAAAGGAGAAAATATTTGCTTGTGTCTGACATACGCTGGTAGCTTTGATTGACGGGTATTTTTACCGGGTTGTGCGCGTGTGAGTTCGCTGATTCTCTCTATAGGCCTATATTTCCATTCAGAAAGTTTCCTAACGTAGCCTGTCTGGACTCCATCTCTTTAATAAGAATCAAACGCTCCTGTCATGATTTAATCTTGTAAAAGGCCTGTTTTCAGTAGTTTATTTCATTACGGCGTCCTCTCTTCGAAGAACTGTCGAATGACCGCAGCAGCAGGGTTTGTGACGTGCAAATATTTCGGGAAAAGTGGGAGAAAACACATCCGACTTCGTTTTAATGGTTTTGTGTGTCTAAATAGGATCTGTATTTTTAAAAAACATATTTATATGCAGAAAAGCCAACAGACAAGGACAAGGTAGGCATATATCTTTATTCTGACTCCGTTAATGTTGTGTAAATACAAAAATGCTGTAGATCCTCTCCAACCTGGTATTTCTTAATTTGTTAATTAATATTTATAAGTAATAACCTGAATAATAATAATGAAATGCCATGATAATAACAAAGTGTAATGCCTTGTTTCAAATAGGTTTTATTAAGAAGCATATCCATGTAAACAAGTGTACAAACAGAATCCCTCGAGATTCAGTATCTTCCTCAAAATAGTCAGAATTAATCTAAGACAACTCAAGAAAACTCATTAATTTTGAAGTTTTTGTCGAGGTCTTCGTCGCGCAATTTTACATCTAAGAGGTTTCAAGTGATTTTTTTTTGCATGAAAACAAGTCGTCTCTCCCTGAATGACAACAAACACTTAATTGAAGAATCCCTACTGTTGACCAATCACCGACAAAGGGGCGTCCGAACTTCCGCTTGCCTCAGGAAAAAAAATGTGCGCACGAACATCCGAAAAACCCCTTGCTGAAGACCAAAACGTCACAAAATGTCGTCGTAATATATGCACGAACTGTCCTACCACTCCTATGACGGCCTTATTTAATCCCAAATATATCAACATCATGTCAGTGTTCTGCAGGGGTAACGAAGGTTAAAGTGATATGTTGCCACAAAGCTCTCTCACAGTACAAGTACAAGACTCCTCAATAGCAGTCAGATTATTTTGTTTGGTCTATGGAGCTCAGTGATAGTTAACCACTTAATTTGTAGAGACATCACAATCTTTTCTGCTCTGGGAAAGGGGTGTGTGTGTGTCCTGATGGGACAGGACAGGATTGTTGAGAGCAGCTCACCAGAGGGGGGGGCGTCTTTAAAAGCCGATTGTTCCCATCATCCTCCACACGACCCCCATGGGCCCCCCTTTATCCTTCACACACACCACTATGCCCCCCCCCCACCAAAACCAGGCCGACAGCTGTGCCTGAGGCTACCCCCCTAGAAACACCCCCCGGGGTATCAGTGACAGCCGTGAGGGGTAATTAACTTTACACTTTATCATGTTCAATTAGGCCTCACACACACACACTCCCCCGTCCCTCCCAGTGCCTGATGGCTTAAGGAGCGTTCCATGTTTTAGCATGGACGTCTCCACCCCCCGACGGGTCCTGATGACACAGATAGATGACCAGAGACGTGCCAGATAGATTAACACAACATTTTAACTGTTAAAAACGGAGGCGGAACCCTCACTCCCAAATCTCATCTGCCATGGCCCGGCCCCTTAATATACCATTGATTAACCCCTAGACACACACACGTGCACAAACGTACGCACGCAGGCAGGCAGGCACGCAAATTGCCGGTACCTGTAAGTATTCAAAGAGCACAACTTCTCCATACTATAGTCCTAGTGCTAGGTCAAACAAATCACAATCATCATCATCATCATATCTATATGATCTTTACTGAATCACATAGCGTGTGGAGTTTCTGAAAGCTCGGGTTTAATCCATAGAACAGGCCATGTTGAGCTGTGCTTGGTAACAGTGGACAGGACAGTGTGTCCTACGGTGCATCCCTCAACACCAAAGGAGCACTACGCCTTAGCGACACTGTTAGAGGAGTGTGTATCAGCAGTCTTAGTAACGTGTGTCTGTGTGTGTGTGTGTGATCAGTCTTCAGGGTGCCGTGTAGCTCTAATGAAAGGCCTCTTGATGGTGAAGGCCTAATAATGTTGGTGTTAATAATTCAAGAGGAATAAGGAGGGAGAGAAAATAGCTGAAACTACACAACCAGGAGGAGAGTGGAGGAGTGAGTGGAGGAGAGGAGAGGGAGGAGAGAGTGGAGGAGAGGAGAGGGAGGAGAGGAGCGAGGGAGGAGAGAGTGGAGGAGAGGAGAGGGAGGAGAGGAGCGAGGGAGGAGAGAGAGGAGAGAGTGGAGGAGAGGAGAGGGAGGAGAGAGTGGAGGAGATAGCAGAGGGGAAGAGGAGAGATGGCAGAGAAGAGGAGAGTGGGGAGGAGAGGCTTAAGGTGTAGAAGGTAGGAGAGATAGGGGAGAGAGAGGTGTTATGGAAAAAAGAGTGACTGATGTACACAGTCACAGCAGGTTGCCTGTATGTCATTGTCCATAGGGTAATGGTATGTATGCATTACCCTAGCTATCCCACTCTTCCTACCCGCTCTCGCTCTGATAATTAGCTGTCTGTCTGTATGTATGTCTGTCTGCGCGTGCGACGCAGCAGTGACGGCCTGTCAGTTAGGCCGCATAATGAACCCAGCCCATACTGCAGCGTCTGCCTACGGACCACAACACACACGGTCAACACACACACAGGTCAACACACACACAGGTCAACACACACACAGGTCAACACACACACATGTCTTACATAACACAGTGAGAGAGAGAAGGCTCTAACTTAGAAATGAAGACGGAGCTAAAGAGAGGCTGATTAATCAGGAGAATAATAGAGAGAGAGAGAGAGAGAGATGTTCTGGATCCCAAATCACCATACATACAACCACCAACATTACCATTAATAAGGCCTATATAATGCTGACACAACAAAAGCCAAGCAGCATTGTAAACCTCCACTGGTTCATTAGACTGGATCACTGAAGAGGAGACTATTGATATCACAGTCAACATGCTGTTCAATATACATCTCTACACGTGGAGAGGGGGAGATAGAGAGAGAGAGAGAGAAACACAGAGAGAGAGGGCAAGAAAGAGCAGGAAACAAAGAAAGAGAGAGAGAAAGATGAGAAGAGAGAGAGAAAGATGAGAAGAGAGAGAGAGAGAAAGATGAGAAGAGAGAGAGAGAGAGCAGAGGTATACTTTCTCTCTCTGTTCACTCCCTCCCTCCCCCCTCCCCCCTCTCTCTCAGATGAACTAATCACCCATAATAAGCTCTTATGATCTGTAGTGGATTTCTATAAGCAGTGACAGAGGGATGATGAAAGATCGGCCGTGCAGGAAGAAGAATAACATCATTAGCGTAACAGAGAGGGAGAGAGAGTGTGTCTTCTTGCAAATGTGTGTGTGTAAGGGCGTCCCGTGGCCTGGTCGGTCCTGTCAGAGACGGATTAAACAGGAATCCTAATGAGGCTGTGGGAGTGTTGGGAACACGTTGGGAATGCCGCCTGCTCCGCCCTGTACCATCCATCCCACAGGAAAATGACACACCTGCATTGTTAAAAACAGACTTACCACGCATCGCCCCCTTGGGCTAGCTGACGGAGATATGCCCAGAGAGAGAAAGAGGGTGAGAAACACAGAGAGGGATAAACTGAGGGGGAGAGAGAGACTGTATAGTGAGGTAATGGTAAAGAGGCAGAGAGGGAGGGAGTGGTAAAGAGCAAGAGAGAGGGAGGGAGTGGTTAAGAGAGAGAGAAGAGCGAGAGAGAGGGAGTAAGGTAGAGGCAGAGAGGGAGAGAGTGGTAAAGAGCGAGAGAGACCAGGATAGCTGTGCCTCTATTCTCTGAGAAACAATTCCCTTGGGAAAGAGCAGACAAGAGTCCCTCTTTCCTATTCCAGGGACAAGTTATGGTTGGCCAACATAAAACCCAGAGTCCCAGTTGAACTAGCCTGACCACGGTTCAACCACGGTGAGCTGGCGTTAGTATTAATGACCGTTAGAGAGAGAGGGGACAGCCAAAGCCACTCTTAGTCTAACATGGTGGGAAGTAGATTCAGTGACTGTGGGAGGCTGGGGGCATCCCAATACCCTAAGGAGGCTTCCTTTCCTTGTCTCCTCTCCTTCAAGGAAAGAAGGCATCTCAATATCCTAAAGAGGCTTCCTTTCCATGTCTCCTCTACGTCAAGGAGAGAGGGTGAGACGGGGGAAGGAGATCAGCGCAAACTCTGGTTTCTGTCATGTTCTAACGAGAGCTGAATTAATTAGCACTTTTTTCATTACAGACAAATAATTAACTGAAGCGATTCACTATAGTCTTATAGCCTTTTAAATTGGAGCCCTTTTTGAAGCGGTTTATCTTTGTCTGTGTGTGTGTGTGTGTGTGTCTTCATCTGTTTTTGTATGTGTGCGAGTGTGTATCTTTGTGTAAATGTGTGGGAGTGTGTGTGCGTGTCTTGTGTCTAAGCAATCAGGGACAGGTGCAGATCCCAAACTTGACTGTGGTGGAGACCTCAGCCGGGGCTTCTGAGGCAATATCCACAGGGTTACGAGGCTTGTGTAAAGCAGTAGGCACTTTTATTGGTGGTAGGGTTCAATTAAACTACATTATGAATATGAGGTTGTACAAACACACACCACGGTGGTTGTTCCCACGCTGTAGTAGTGAATGTGAGCCACACTCCAGCTCTTTTCCTGGGGTTGAGAGTGGCTGGTCACTAAAGGAACCCTAGTAACACTAACATCTTTCATTACACCATTACAACCCATTGTAACCGTTCATTCATTTCCTTCGATGACAGTTGAATCTACCGTGTTTGTGTAGAATCCATTTCACAGCTGAACTACTGTGCCAGGCTGATTCTACCAGAGTAAACACACCTTCAAGGAAAAGTGCTGTAATTCAGGTCTGAGGAGACGCATGAGTCCTTATTCAATTGTGTGAGGAAAACGGGCTGGCAATGCAAACAGTTATATACTTGGTTTGACTACTGAAAATCTGAAGTGACCTTTGTTCTAACATAGAGCTCTCATCTTAATGGCAACATTTTTCACTGAGTTATAGGCCTAAACAATATGATACGGTTTCTAACATTACACTAGCGTTCCTTCCTCCCCAAACCCCTGGGTAGAGACAGAATGTTTACAGGCCTTCAGTGCAGCCTCATGTGGTCCAGTGATATAATTATACCCAATGGGAGATATTTTCTCAAACATTAAAAACCCAAACAAGTGCTGTAAAAACTTGATGGATATCAAGTAAATAACTCAAATGGAGAGAGAAGAGGGAGAGAGTGCGAACCCAAATCACACACACACACATAAAAAATCTGCACTTTCAACAGTTTATCTGCCAAAGTCGCTAATGCTAGTCCTTCATGTTAAAAACAGTATTTATCTACTGCGTTAACGAGCTCAAGCCTGAGAACCATCCCACACTGACATGCACACACTGACAAACGTCATGAGAACACACACACACACACACACCCCGAAGAAACTGAAGCAGAGAGGGAGAAAGCGGGAAGAGGAAGTCTGAGAGAATGATGCTGAAAGACATGCAACAGTACCCTGACCATCATCATCATCATCATCATCAGTGCCTGCTCCATTCCATGAGGGAGAGTGGTCAATGCCAGGAGACAGAGGAGAAAGGGAGAGGTGGAGGAAGAGGAGAGAGCGATCATTCCAGAATCAATCCTCCCTGTGGCCCAAAGCAGACCCATTGAGTTTGAGGCGGACTGATAATGACCCCCCTCCCCCCCTCACCCCCAGCCCCACACGCTCTCTTAAAATGAGTGACATATAGGGAGGGGTTTAGGAGAATTTGATGGACAGAGCCTTATAGTAAAACTGGCACATACACCAGCTGACAAATAGGCCTACACACCCACAGAGAAGGACACCAAACATCACACACACACCGTGTTGAGAGGGACAGTCCCCCAGCTGCTGTGGGTCTGCTTCCATCTGGACTCCAGGCTAGACCCCCACCCCCTTACTCCCCTCCTCTCACCCACACCCCTGACTGCCCTACCTCCTTCTCCTCCATTACCCCCTCCCCTCCCCTCATCCCTCCCTCTCCCCTTAATCAGCCTCCCTCTGTCCCCCTGGTCCCCCTAGTAATGGGATTGTTATGCTAATCTAGTCAGTTCAGTGCTGGTTAAAGCATCTGCATACTAGGTTTGGTTTGCTCCTAGCAGAACTCGGCTAGGCGAAGTGAACGTCTGTGCCCTAAAAAGAACTTCGCTTGAAAAACAAGAAACAAGCAGCAATAGTACTGTTTGTCCCTCTTGAGACGCCGTAGCCAGTATACACTTCCTCATAATATTCTGAATTAATCTAAGATAACTCAAGAAATCTATAATTACTTTTGACGTTTTTGCTGTGGAGGTCTTAGTAGCGCAATTTTACATCTAAGGTGTTTGGTGCAGTATTTCTCAAGGGAAAACATTTGCATGAAAACAAGTCGTTTCTTGTTGAATGACAACAAACACTTAATTTAAGAATCCCTACTGTTGACCAATCACCGACAAAGGGGCGTAGACTTCGGCTACCGAACTTCGGCTTGCCTCAGGAAAATTGTTGCGTGTACGAAGAGCCCCAAAAAAAACCTTGCCGAAGACCAAAACATAGAAAAACATAATATATGCAGTATATATTTAGTCAGTCATCACTGCACTGACAGCAGGCCCAGCCAGTTACCCACAGCTGTGATACCTACTAGGCCCATTTCTCTCTCATTCCCTACACCAGAACCTTAACATGCCTTCTTCTGGTCACGCTCGTATTTGGACAATGGTTAGCTGTGATGATTTGCCTGTGGCCTTAGGTGATTGCCAGTGTTTTCCACAAGACAGCCAACTATTAAAAAAAAAGTGGGGGTCCGGGGTTGTTCGCTCCCCTGGGTTCAACATTATTTGCCGAAGGAGCTCTATTTGTGGCCTTTGTTGTATTCTAATGCCTTGATTCCATATGAAAGAGTTTACCTCCCAGATTGGAAAAATGTGTTGTGATATTGTGTAGAAAGACATGACTTTACAATTTAAATGACTGAAAATATATGAATTCAGTGTATTGTTAGTCGTTTTGGGATATTGTCTAGGTCTATATGATCAGGACTATTTTCTAAGTAAGAGAACATTAAACCTTTAACTTGTCTTCTCTTGAGATTAAAGTCATAAGCGGTGTTCGAATACCCATACTAACATACTGTATACTACATACTTAACGAGTATATACTATTAGTTAATTTTAGTATACTGTAAAACGAACTGTATCCTTTGTTGAGCCTACTAGCGCTACGCCTGTCTACCGGAAGTTGATGCTGTTGCTATGCAACCTCTTGCTAGCTTGTTAGCATAACAAATTACTAGCTAGACATCTTACGACTTCGGGTGTGTTCGTAAATTCAAACTGGAGTGCCAGAGTGCGCTCTGGGTGTTAGCAAATTCAGAGCGTTGTCAGATTGTCCGTTTTGTAAATTCAGAGGGGTTCGCTCTCGGAGCATTCAGAGCGCACATTGGAAGCTCTGGCCGAGGTGTAGGGTTGATCCGAGCTTTCTGACCTCACAACGGCAGTCAAGCACCCAAGCTAACGTTGGCTAGCTTGCTAGCTACTTCCATTTTACTCACCCTAGCAGAGCTGGTTAGGCTGTTTTCATGTTATCCAGAGCTTTGGTGACTAACTGTGCTGCTGGCAACAATTTAATTACGCTTTTTTGCGGACGTTTACTGACACCGGCCATATTCAACAGGTGTCGAGCGTTCATAAATTCATAAGTTATTCTGCGCTCTGGCACACTCAGACGAGAGTGCTCTGAAATCGGAGTAGATAGCCAGAGCTAATTTAAGAACGCACCCAAATTAACAATGTCCATTGAGAACGCACAACGACTATCCCACTTAGCTAAGAATGACGTCAATAAACATTGGGTAGTTAGTTAGATAGCATATACAGTGAGGGGAAAAAATATTTGATCCCCTGCTGATTTTGTACGTTTGCCCACTGACAAAGAAATTATCAGTCTATAATTTTAATGGTAGGTTTATTTGAACAGTGAGAGACAGAATAACAACAACAAAAATCCAGAAAAACGCATGTCAAAAATGTTATAAATTGATTTGCATTTTAATGAGGGAAATAAGTATTTGACCCCCTCTCAATCAGAAAGATTTCTGGCTCCCAGGTGTCTTTTATACAGGTAACGAGCTGAGATTAGGAGTACACTCTTAAAGGGAGTGCTCCTAATCTCAGCTTGTTACCTGTATAAAAGACACCTGTCCACAGAAGCAATCAATCAATCAGATTCCAAACTCTCCACCATGGCCAAGACCAAAGAGCTCTCCAAGGATGTCAGGGACAAGATTGTAGACCTACAAAAGGCTGGAATGGGCTACAAGACCATCGCCAAGCAGCTTGGTGAGAAGGTGACAACAGTTGGTGCGATTATTCGCAAATGGAAGAAACACAAAATAACTGTCCATCTCCCTCGGCCTGGGGCTCCATGCAAGTTCTCACCTCGTGGAGTTGCAATGATCATAAGAACGGTTAGGAATCAGCCCAGAACTACACGGGAGGATCTTGTCAATGATCTCAAGGCAGCTGGGACCATAGTCACCAAGAAAACAATTGGTAACACACTACGCCGTGAAGGACTGAAATCTTGCAGCGCCCGCAAGGTCCCCCTGCTCAAGAAAGCACATATACAGGGCTGTCTGAAGTTTGCCAATGAACATCTGAATGATTCAGAGGAGAACTGGGTGAAAGTGTTGTGGTCAGATGAGACCAAAATCGAGCTCTTTGGCATCAACTCAACTCGCCGTGTTTGGAGGAGGAGGAATGCTGCCAATGATCCCAAGAACACCATCCCCACCGTCAAACATGGAGATGGAAACATTATGCTTTGGGGGTGTTTTTCTGCTAAGGGGACAGGACAACTTCACCGCATCAAAGGGACGATGGATGGGGCCATGTACCGTCAAATCTTGGGTGAGAACCTCCTTCCCTCAGCCAGGGCATTGAAAATGGGTCGTGGATGGGTATTCCAGCATGACAATGACCCAAAACACACGGCCAAGGCAACAAAGGAGTGGCTCAAGAAGAAGCACATTAAAGGTCCTGGAGTTGCCTAGCCAGTCTCCAGACCTTAATCCCATAGAAAATCTGTGGAGGGAGCTGAAGGTTCGAGTTGCCAAACATCAGCCTCGAAACCTTAATGACTTGGAGAAGATCTGCAAAGAGGAGTGGGAGAAACAACCCACCTGAGATGTGTGAAAACCTGGTGGCCAACTACAAGAAACGTCTGACCTCTGTGATTGCCAACAAGTCATGTTTTGCAGAGGGGTCAAATACTTATTTCCCTCATTAAAATGCAAATCAATTTATAAAAAAATTTACATTCGTTTTTCTGGATTTTTTTGTTGTTATTCTGTCTCTCGCTGTTCAAATAAACCTACCATTAAAATTATAGACTGATCATTTCTTTGTCAGTGGGTAAACGTACAAAATCAGCAGGGGATCAAATACTTTTTTCCCTCACTGTAGTTAATATATTGGGAAGTTCGATGTATTAGTAACCAACTAACGTTAGGTAGCTAGCTAACATACCGGTACATACTGCTGTAATGATATGCTATGCAGTGTGTAAGGATAGCGTAGCTAACAAATTGTCAGCCAACATAACGTGTAACGTAACTTATTTGAAAAGTCATTACTTTATTACATTGCTCAACATTTTAACATTTGTCATAATTAGTTAAAGCAATGAATTTGTATGCGCTCTTGTCGGACCTCGGCTGCATATTTTGCGCCATTTTCTTCAAAACTGAAAATTGTGTGAAGCTATGCCCATTTTCCGAAGAATTGCATTATGGGCCCTAAAAGCACGGAAATAGTGTCCACTGCTCGTATACTTTGTATTTTGGCGAATGTAGTATGATATCCGGGAACTTTTGGCATACTAACTATATCCATACTGCGACCAATAAGCATACTACATACTCAACTTATGTCACAAATAGTATGGTTAGTCTGAGTATTCGAAAACAGCTTCAGTTTTATTGCAAGATATGAATTCCACCATTTTGTTTGCTCTTCAAATTATGTATTTTATTAAAACAGAAAAATGAAGTAAATATCCCACATTATGTAAAATAAATTAAAAAGGTGTTGTTTTTCCAGGTTTACGTTGTACCCAGTTTTTTCAGGTTTTTCGCTCTCAAAATCAAACTTTTTTAATAGAAAATTTGATATTCTAAATCCACAACAATGCGTAAATCACATCAGGAGACCACTTTTGAGGTCTGGGAGAAATCTGAGAAATTGTGATTTTCTGATGTAGTTACCTATTAATTCAAGTGCCTAGCAAAAGGCTGTTGTTTAGTGGTGTTTTTGTAGAGCACATGTGATAGTAGAATGTACAAAACAAATACCCACTGGATTGATTAAAATGATCATGACACTGTATCATTCTGCCAGGTAAGCATAGGCTACTTTGTAGTTAACATTTAATTAAGAAGACTGTTTTCATTAGCATCATCACTAACGGCTACACAAAGTGGTACACACGCGCCACACACAGGGGCATTCTCAATGCCTCTTCAGAAAGTCGCAGGAAAAACGAATCACTGATGCATTCTGTTCGTGTCTTACGATAAACTTGGGCTAATTAGTAAATGTTCAGTACATTTAGTTGATTCCCAACTAAGGTCAATACCTTTTTGAATATTCCGCGAGGGCCCTAATTATCATATTCGGACCAAAATGATGCTCTCCACTACCTATTGTTCCTGCAGTGATGATTCACCATCTTTATCTAATGTTTTCATAATTTAACTGCAGATAATCGCCAAAAAGCCTAGGCCTGCTACCAGTAGCCTATAAAAATTATGGAGCCATATGAACAGCTCTCTCACCGATGTGATTCAATAGGCTACACTGACTTACGAGATGAGAGTCACTCATTTTAATATCCCTGTGTGGTAAGCACAGACATCCTAGGAAAAGGAAACCTAGGAAATCCTTTGGTTTACTTGTCCCGATGCGATACCATGGACATACACTACCGGTCAAAAGTTTTAGAACACCTACTAATTACAGGGTTTTTCTTTATTTTTACTATTTTCTACATTGTTGAATAATAGTGAAGACATTAAAACTATGAAATAACACATATGGAATCATGTAGTAACCAAAAAAGTGTTAAACAAATCAAAATATATTTGATATTTGAGATTCTTCAAAATAGCCACCCTTTGCCTTGATGACAGCTTTGCACACTCTTGGCATTCTCTCAACCAGCTTCACCTGGAATGCTTTTCCAACAGTCTTGAAGGAGTTCATATGCTGAGCACTTGTTGGCTGCTTTTCCTTCACTCTGCGATCCAACTCATCCCAAACCATCTCAATTGGGTTGAGGTCGGGTGATTGTGGAGGCCAGGTCATCTGATGCAGCACTCCATCACTCTCCTTCTTGGTCAAATAGCCCTTACACAGCCTGGAGGTGTGTTGGGTCATTGTCCTGTTGAAAAACAAATGATAGTCCAACTAAGCCCAAACCAGATGGGATGGCGTATCGCTGCAGAATGCTGTGGTAGCCATGCTGGTTAAGTGTGACTTGAATTCTAAATGAATCACAGACAGTGTCACCAGCAAAGCACACCCACACCATAACACTTGCTCCTCCATGCTTTACGGTGGGAAATACACATGCGGAGATCATCCGTTCACCCACACCGCGTCTCACAAAGACACAGCGGTTGGAACCAAAAATCTCCAATTTGGACTCCAGACCAAAGGACACATTTCCACTGGTCTAATGTCCATTGCTCGTGTTTCTTGGTCCAAGCAAGTCTCTTCTTATTATTGGTGTCCTGTAGTAGAGGTTTCTTTGCAGCAATTCGACCATGAAGGCCTGATTCACACAGTCTCTTCTGAACAGTTGATGTTGAGATGTGTCTGTTACTTGAACTCTGTGAAGCATTTATTTGGGCTGCAATTTCTGAGGCTGGTAACTCTAATGAACTTATCCTCTGCAGCAGAGGTAACTCTGGGTCTTCCATTCCTGTGGCAGTCCTCATGAGAGCCAGTTTCATCATAGCGCTTGATGGTTTTTGCGACCGCACTTGAAGAAACTTTCAAAGTTCTTGACATTTTCCGTATTGACTGACCTTCATGTCTTAAAGTAATGATGGACTGTCGTTTCTCTTTGCTTATTTGAGCTGTTCTTGCCATAATATGGACTTGGTCTTTTACCAAATAGGGCTATCTTCTGTATAACCCCCCTACCTTGTCAAAACACAACTGATTGGCTCAAATGCATTACGGAAAGAAATTCCACAAATTAACTTTTAAGAAGGCACACCTGTTAATTGAAATGCATTCCAGGTGACTACCTCATGAAGCTGGTTGAGAGAATGCCAAGAGTGTGCAAAGCTGTCATCAAGGCAAAGGGTGGCTATTTGAAGAATCTCAAATATAATATATATCTTGATTTGTTTAACACTTTTTTGGTTACTACATGATTCCATATGTGTTATTTCATAGTTTTGATGTCTTCACTATTATTCTACAATGTAGAAAATAGTAAAAATAAAGAAAAAAATAGGTGTTCTAAAACTTTTGACCGGTCGTGTATAACCACGTTGCATGATTTATGAATGGCAAAGATATAAGAGATCGACTTTATTCAGTCAGTTCGACACCTTTTATAAACTAGTCAATACTTGCTGTTATTGTCAAAGCACAGTAAATAACCTACTACACGCCAGGACTAGGGCTGACCCCAATTAGTCGACTGGTCGATTGTTTGGTCGTTAGGCTGTTGGTCGACCGAGATTGTTTTAGTCGAGCAGTAACACACACACACACACACACACACACCCCATTGCGGAGGCCTAGACTAAAAGCCAATTCATGCTTGATACGAAAATATGGTCGGAGGCGCCATATTGAGGGTGTGACGCAATTGCAGAGCCTCCAGAGGCATGCAGAGGCCAAATCGAGCTCTGTAGCGCATCACCATGCGCCTCCCAAATGTTGTAACAATGCAGAGGGCTCTGTATAGCGCCGCATTGACATGATTGGTTGACGGTAGGTGGGGGCGGTATATCCTGTATAAACACAAACTCACTTCCTTGACAACAGCTCTGCACTGCCAATGCAGACGTCAGATTCCCCATGCACCCTGATGCACAATTCACTACTCTCTCCAGAATGCGCTCTCTCCTGCCAATTTGTGCACATTCATTGTTTCATAACTTCATTGTGTGAATTGTTTGTGTTTGATTGTCAATTCCCCATTACATATATCACCAGTAGTACATTTACTGTTAATTCCTATAATTTCTAATCTACAATGTTTGTTGCTTTGGTTACGTTAATATTTTAATGCATTCAATATTCCAGTGTTCCCGTTCTCATTGTCTGAGTGGACACATTGTTTGCAATGTGCACAACCTATGCTACACTTATCCCTTGTGCACATAGCCTACAGCTGTGTCTGTCCCGAGCTCACTGGCGGGGAAACTCTGAGGGCCCAGAATATTTTATACAATGTTGCAAGTTTGCTAGCTCAAGATTTGGGGGCTGGACCCAACTTAATAGTTGATACAATGTTTCAAGTTCGTAGCCATTGTGATTTATAGGATATGAATTTTTATCAGGATATTTTCTACCTGCAGGGTGCAATGTTTTTATTTGTTGGCTTTATGTAGGCTATTTTTACATAGTTGGCAATGGCAATAGAAGTTACCTTTAAGGTTTTATCATTTTCATTTAGATTTGGATAGGATTTAGATTAACCACATGACAATGATTTTGAGATATGAAGACTTCAAAATGAGCATATGAAAACCAAAACTGGCACACAGATCGGTAGAAATTGTAAGATAAATTGGCATTCAACATGAGAAAGGTTGCAGACTCCTCGTGTACCCTATTTCCGGCAACTTCTGGAGAAAATTGTGCGAAAGCCAGCAGCAGCGGGAGGAGAATAGTTGGGCCAGGTTACGTTTTTTTATTCTGGTTATCTAGATCTCTGGCGCCCTTCTAGGCATTTGTCTTATTTAATCAAACCATAAGCTTTAAGCATCAGACAAGCTCAATGCTTATAGTTGATTTTATTAAAACACATAGGGTGTGTCTATATATGGAAAAATACACATTAAAACATTTTAGACCAATCAATTGGTGGAAAGAACAGATGACTTTCGGTCAACCAAGATTTTTTTTGTTGAGTCCAGCCCTAGCCAGGACTCCCCGTGGCTGGCTATGAGAAACACGCAAAATAAATGAATGTGCCAGAAAACAATAATTAGGCAAAGTTGTGGATTTTGACTCATCATTACATGGGAAATGCAAATTCACGAGCATCATGCTCTCTCCCTCCTCTGTGTAAAGAAATTCGACTGCAAACAACCACAGTGCACACAAATTGTAACGGGAGGCAGGACAAACAGCAGACTGCGTTTTCCTGTCATCGCTGGCTTTGTGACTGACAGGCGCCTATCCTATCAATAGATTGCTAGAAGATGCATATCGTTCATTCTAGCATAACCTAACGTAGCAGGTGTAAAAGAAATGGCTGAAACCAGATCCCCTACATCCTGGTCTTGACGAGGAGAAAAAAAAAAAAAAACTGTCGGGGGAAGTTCTCTTACAGTGGGGAAAAAAAGTATTTAGTCAGCCACCAATTGTGCAAGTTCTCCCACTTAAAAAGATGAGAGAGGCCTGTAATTTTCATCATAGGTACAAATTGAGAAAAAAAAAATCCTGAAAATCACATTGTAGGATTTTTTATGAATTTATTTGCAAATTATGGTGGAAAATAAGTATTTGGTCACCTACAAACAAGCAAGATTTCTGGCTCTCACAGACCTGTAACTTCTTCTTTAAGAGGCTCCTCTGTCCTCCACTCGTTACCTGTATTAATGGTACCTGTTTGAACTTGTTATCAGTATAAAAGACACCTGTCCACAACCTCAAACAGTCACACTCCAAACTCCACTATGGCCAAGACCAAAGAGCTGTCAAAGGACACCAGAAACAAAATTGTAGACCTGCACCAGGCTGGGAAGACTGAATCTGCAATAGGTAAGCAACTTGGTTTGAAGAAATCAACTGTGGGAGCAATTATTAGGAAATGGAAGACATACAAGACCACTGATAATCTCCCTCGATCTGGGGCTCCACGCAAGATCTCACCCCGTGGGGTCAAAATGATCACAAGAACGGTGAGCAAAAATCCCAGAACCACACAGGGGGGACCTAGTGAATGACCTGCAGAGAGTTGGGACCAAAGTAACAAAGCCTACCATCAGTAACACACTACGCCGCCAGGGACTCAAATCCTACAGTGCCAGACGTGTCCCCCTGCTTAAGCCAGTACATGTCCAGGCCCGTCTGAAGTTTGCTAGAGTGCATTTGGATGATCCAGAAGAGGATTGGGAGAATGTCATATGGTCAGATGAAACCAAAATAGAACTTTTTGGTAAAAACTCAACTCGTCGTGTTTGGAGGACAAAGAATGCTGAGTTGCATCCAAAGAACACCATACCTACTGTGAAGCATGGGGGTGGAAACATCATGCTTTGGGGCTGTTTTTCTGCAAAGGGACCAGGACGACTGATCCGTGTAAAGGAAAGAATGAATGGGGCCATGTATCGTGAGATTTTGAGTGAAAACCTCCTTCCATCAGCAAGGGCATTGAAGATGAAACGTGGCTGGGTCTTTCAGCATGACAATGATCCCAAACACACCGCCCGGGCAACGAAGGAGTGGCCAGTCTCCAGATCTCAATCCCATAGAAAATCTTTGGAGGGAGTTGAAAGTCCGTGTTGCCCAGCGACAGCCCCAAAACATCACTGCTCTAGAGGAGATCTGCATGGAGGAATGGGTCAAAATACCAGCAACAGTGTGTGAAAACCTTGTGAAGACTTACAGAAAACGTTTGACCTGTGTCATTGCCAACAAAGGGTATATAACAAAGTATTGAGAAACTTTTGTTATTGACCAAATACTTATTTTCCACCATAATTGCAAATAAATTCATTAAAAATCCTACAATGTGATTTTCTGGAATTCTTTTTCTCATTTTGTCTGTCATAGTTGACGTGTACCTATGATGAAAATTACAGGCCTCTCTCATCTTTTTAAGTGGGAGAACTTGCACAATTGGTGGCTGACTAAATACTTTTTTTCCCCACTGTATGTGCTGTTCAACCTATCCAGTAAATGTGGAGGAGGAGTTAAGATGGCGTGTCGCCTTGTTTACGTCCAAAAGCGCAAGTCGAGTCACAGGCTCTCTTTCAATTTCCCCTGAAAACCAGAACATCGGTTGTTGGGGACTCGGCAGAGGCTAATTCTAGCGGGAGAGGGCTCGACGAACTAGAGAAATGAAACATTTAAATGGAAAGTAGCCTAGTTAATATGAAGTGGAAAAAGTAGCCTGCTGAAAATGAGTATGTAATCGGCTGAAACACAGTTAAAAGGTTGCACAGCAAACTTGCGCTGTCTGAGACACACTGTATACAAACCCATTAAGCTCCCACGGTCGCACCAAAGTTAATGCAGTACAGTCCCTTAAACACACACACTCTCTCTCGACCACTGATAGTGTAGTTCTCAGCATTGGGAAATTAATGAATGGCTTTTCAAAGCTTTTTAAAATCGCCGTCCGTTAGCGATGTGGCGGTCCACTGCCGGAAGACAAGACGCAGGCATGCTGGGTAATTACCGCTAACAACCCCGCCGCTCGTTAGCTGCTGCTCCTATTTCTGCCATCGCCGTGCCAACAGCCCGGGCTCGTGACGTCAGAGCCCGTTTTGTTGTGGGTCTAGTTTGCATGCGGACACTTTTAACAACACCAGACAGTGGTGAATGTGTGTATGTGTGTGTGTGAGAATTGGTGTGTGTATATTTTAGAGTGTCCATGCGCTTGTTTGTGTGTACAGTAAGTGACTACGTGCAGTGTGTGTGTGTGTGTGAGAGAGAGTGAAAGACAGTATCTATGCCAGGACATAGCAGGCAGGGCCAGGCAACTGGTCAGTAAGAGCAAGACCAACAAACAGAGAGCGAAAGAAAGAAATATGTTTTTTTGATTGTCGTTATTTAACAAGTTTATTATTCCTCGTCTCAGACCCCAGGGGAAACTGCCAAACCCCTAGTGACGCACTCGAGGTGGGAACCACACACACACACACACTTTTAAAAACACACTACCTCACTCACCACTCAGACCAGAGAGGATTAATTTTGAATTAAAAAAAAAATCTAAATTTAAAAAACAAAGAAAACCCCAAAAGCACAGGAAGTCTCTGTCTGTGAGGATGCATGAAGTGACTGAAAATGTTTGTGATCTTTGCATGAATCTGTGCGTGTGTGTAGATACCATATTAGATATCATAAGCATTAACTCACACAAAAATAAGTGTGTTAGGGATCAATGTATGTCACCGTGTGTGTGTGTCTGTGTGCAGTGGTGACTTCATAACTGAAGATTCTGGTGGGACCACCAGTCAAAAACACCTCATGTGTGTATGTGTGTATGCATGCGTCTCTGTGTGTGTGTGTGTGTGTGTGTGTCACTGTCGTTAGATCTGGATCTGATCACAAGAAACAGTAGTGACTGTCTCTAACAAACACAGACACACTAAATACAACACAATGCCCCTCCCTTCTACTTGATTGATGAATTAAGGTCACTAATTAGTAAAGAAATCCCCTCACCTGGTTGTCTAGGTCTTAATTGAATGGAAAAAAACCAAAAACCTGCAGACACTAGGCCCTCCATGGAATGGGTTTGACACCCCTGGGTGTCTGCACTACACGCATACAAACATGGCTCCCTACTGGGGCAGAGTGCCACCTCCTGGACAAACGCAGCATGTCAAATCCCCTCCCCCACTCTATCGGCGAGAGAAGCCCTCACAACACAACACACTGGGACGTCTGGGACGTGACCTGTATTTTACCCTCCACCTCCTGACCTCTCTCTCTGTCTTCTCCCCAAGTTCAGCTTTTCACCGATGGGCCACTTTCATCCTCAGCAAGGGGGTTAGAGGCCAGTTCTGTTAGGATGTGTATATATATATATATATGAGCTTTAGATAGTGGGCGGTCAAGTGTGTGTGTGTTTGTGTCCGAACTTGGGAGTGTGCGCGCGCTGTCGCGTTAGGCGTCTGTGGGGCTCAGGCTAGAAGTAACAGGTAAATCATTGGCCATTCCAGAGCAGTAAACCAGGCTTCGCTAAGAGCCCAGAGAAGAAGTTTGTAAACATTGTGCCTGTGTGTGTGTGGCTGTGTGTGTGTAAAACAATCTTCAGAGAGGAAGGGTCTTCACAGAGGACTGCACTCACTAACTACAGCCTGTCTACACTGCAAAGAGGGTGTGTGTGTGAGAGGGAGGGAGGGAGCGTTGTGTGTGAGGAATGTGTGTGAGAAAATGAGTGTTGGCAGACAAGCATATGACCACGGTGTGGGCTGTTGGGGATCGTCAAAAAGTGGACCTGCAGAAATGTGAATCAGTCGTATTTGTATGTGTATGTCTGTGTGTGTGTGTGTGCGTGTGCGTGCCCCCCGGTTGGTCTGGCCGAGGTGAGAGGGAGAGTTTTACAGCTATGCGTCTCCCTCCCGTCTCACCTTTCACTCCCTGTGGGGCCAGTTTCTCTCCTCTTTATCTACATGAAAGGCACTGACAAGAGATACCCGCCATTACGGCTCCATCAAAAAACACTGACACGGTATTCTCCATTGCGGCTCAAACCATTAAGGAGAACACTGTCCTGTGCACTGTCAAGGAGCCATCAGATCAACAGGACTAACATAATGACGACTTAAAACCTTGCCTTTAAGACCCGGTCAAAAGCAACAATAAAACCCGCTCTACACTGACTACAAAGGGTGGTCACTGTCTGGAGGGAAGAAGCACAGCGCTGAACTACCAACCCTATATTGTGCTTGCTCAGGTAAGGGTCGTATTCATTAGTGCACACCGTAGCAAAACGTTTATGCAATGGAAAAACAAAAACAAGCGTTTCTAATTGGACAAGTTCAGGTAGTTTTTCCCCTGTTTCGGCCCGTTTGCTTTCGTTTTATTCCTAGGATTCTGATCGGACAATGTTGCCTTATAGCCTCAAATATGTTGCCATCAACAAGATCAATTTCCACCAGCTGTTGATCTGTCACCGGTGTACAATCAGTGGCCTGTAGCCTACATACTGTTCATTATAATATATAGCACCAGAGTCTGTATTTATAGACTCTGGTGCACTAGGGTATCTATAGATACACATAGGAACACATGACATGGTTAGCATTACTGCTAAAGCTCTACAGCTGATGTGTCTGTTTGTGTGTCCAAGATGAAATGAGGACTAGAGAGAGAGAGAGAGAAGGAGTGTGTGTGTGCGTGTGTGTGTGTGTGTGTGTGTGTGTGTGTGTGTGTAGGCCAGAAACAGGAGAAGGAAAACCTTTCTATGGACATGGCTAGTAGAGTGACACAGTACGTGATCGCCATAGCAACAGAATGTTACCTCCTGACACGGGAGCGTCCATGAAGACGGCGCCCATCTTCTCGGCGGCGAGGGCCATTTCCTTGGAGACGGAGGGGTCGATGGTGGAGGAGTCGATGAGCAGCGTTCCCTTCTTCACTTTTCTGAGAAAGAAGAACAGGGTTAGTGCTATACAGTATCCTTGGGACGTCCCTATTCTAAAGCCCAACCTCTACCGTCACCCTAACCTTAACCCTTACCCTTATCAAATCACATTTTATTTGCCACATGTGCCGAATACAACAGGTGTAGACCTTACAGTGAAATGCTTACTTACAAGCCCTTAAACAACAGTGCAGTTTTAATAAAATAATAGAAAATAGCAAATAATTAAAGAGCAGCAGTAAAATCAAATAACAGTAGGGAGGCTATATACAGGGGGGTACCGGTACAGAGTCAATGTGCGGGGGCACCGGTTAGTCAAGGTAATTGAGGTGCCCCCGCACATTGACTCTGTACCGGTACCCCCCTGTAATGTGGGTAGAGTTATTAAAGTGACTATGCATAGATAATAAACAGAGTAGCAGCAGTGTAAAAGAGGGAGGGGGGTGGGGGTGGGGGGCAATGCAAATAGTACGGGTAGCCATGATTAGCTGTTCAGGAGTCTTATGGCTTGGTTAAGAAGCCTTTTGGACCAAGACTTGGCGCTTCGGTACCGCTTGCCGTGCGGTAGCAGAGAGAACAGTCTATGACTAGGGTGGCTGGAGTCTTTTTTTTAGGGCCTTCCTCTGACACCGCCTGGTATAGAGGTCCTGGTTGGCAGGAAGCTTGACCCCAGTGATGTACTGGGCCGTATGCACTACCCTCTGTAGTGCCTTGTAGTCGGAGGCCGAGCAGTTGCCATACCAGGTGGTGATGCAACCAGTCAGGATGCTCTCGATGGTGCAGCTGTAGAACTTTTTGAGGATCTGATGACCCATGCCAAATCTTTTCAGTCTCCTGAGGGGAAATAGGCTTTGTTGTGCCCTCTTCACGACTGTCTTGGTGTGTTTGGACCATGATAGTTTGTTGGTGATGTGGACACCAAGGAACTTGAAGCTCTCAACCTGTTCCACTACAGCCCCGTTGATGAGAATGGGGGCGTGCTCAGTCCTCTTTTTTCCCCTGTAGTCCACAATCATGTCCTTTGTCTTGATCACGTTGAGGGACAGGTTGTTGTCCTGGCACCACACGGCCAGGTCTCTGACCTCCTCCCTATAGGCTATCTCATCGTTGTCGGTGATCAGGCCTTATCTAACCTTAACCATTTTAAATTTCGACTTCACTGGGGGGTAGGGACGTCCCAAGGATCCCAGATAGCACGTACCAGAAGAACAAGAGAGGAACAACACAGTCACATGACCATATCACATTATCTCAGAGTGCAGACCCACAGTACCAGGCTCTGTTTTAGGGCCAGCACTAGCTCACCTGACTTAACTCAGTTCAGAGACCATGATCAGTTTAATCAGGTGCACAAGTGCAGGGCTACAACAAAAGCCTGTACAATTGGTGGCATTCCAGGATCTGGGTTACCTACCCCTGCCCTATAACTGGGACAGGCCAGTTATAGAGGCTAGGCCAGAGAAAGGGGATCAGGTCTGTTTTACACCAGAACTTTAGTTCTGGTGAGAAGGACCAGAGAGGGGTAGCTGCTTACTTGAGGATGCCGTTGGGTCCAGTGTAGACCTCTATGACGTTGGGACTGGAGGGTAGCATGGTGATGATCCTGTCTGCTTTATCTGCAACCTCCGCTGGGGAGTCCAGGATCTGGACAGGGAGGAAACAGATGGTAAAGATGGGGTGAGAAATAAACAGAAAAGACACTAACAGAGATACAACCAGGTTGCATCCCTTTTCTCCATATTCCTGAAGTCTGCACTTGCACACTCCCCGTCATGGATTTAAAAGCGTTGGATTGGTTTAAGCACTGGCTGAAGGGAGTTTCCACCATTTGTAAATCCAAGTGCACCCTTTGAGAGTCAGGACGCAGCCTGAGAAACACACACAAACAGATGTACTTCGACCATCACCTCCAGACTCAGCAGGTACACAGCTCACATGTAGGGTCCATGTACCGGTAATGTGGCCTATGCTTGTCTCCCTGCCCTACAGGTATGAGTCTGTTGACCTACTGCTATGATTCATGGTAATGGAGAGCAATACAGTAAGTCATAGAGAAAACACACAAGGCCGACAAATAGTTAAAATCCGTGGGCGTCCTATTTTTTATTAATATCCGGGCGTTTCAACATGTAGACCTCCAGCAGGTGATCTACTGTGCATGGTCAACATTAATTATGGTGCGTCCTGTCTACTGTTATGATTACTGCTATGATTCAGTGGTAATGTAGAGCAACACAGAAAGTAGGCTAGGTGACGTAAATGGGTGCTAGCTAGGTGTTACCTGTGCCCCCTCGTCTTGTAGCTCCTTGCAGGACTCAGGGAAGACGTCGGTGGCGATGACAGGGTATCCGTGCTTCAGCAGGTTCTTGGCCATGGGGCTGCCCATATTCCCAAGCCCAATGAACCCCACCGGAGTCTTAGAGGCCATCGACCTGCTCGACACTGGACAGCACAGACACAGAGAAGACAGTCAATACATAGGCATACTACAGAAAATTGTAGCGACATAAGCTATGGTTAAGTTAGCACATTCCTACTTAAAGGAAAGGTGTACCCTTTAAAAAAAAAAGTATATAGTTTTTGTGCATCTCTGAGCGATGTTCTATCAATTACCGGGGTAATTTCATGTTCATCTGAGTTCTTGTCATTCACGTTGGGCAGAAATACAGCTGGTATGACGAGTTTTGCATCACGTCATTCCGGCTGTATTTCTGCAGCTTGAACGGCGAATAGCTCAGATACACATGAAAACATGAAATGACCCTGGGAATCGATAGAACATCGCCTTAGAGATGCACAAAAACAATATAACATTCAAAATTGGTGAATCTTTCCTTTAAGTAAACCGTTTGTCATTGTTCTTTTAGAGTAGTTCCATACGCCCGTGTTTCCAATACTCCTTGGCGTGGCACAAAGCCCCCCCCAAAGCAAAATGCAGGGCTGAAAACACCAAACCTTTCAACCGTAACCAATACAGGGACTATTTTTTGTAGTTGAGGCTGGGGCAACAGAAAGTAGCATTAAATGTAAACCCCTACAACTCATCCAGAATGCCGCAGCCCGTCTGGTGTTCAACCTTCCCAAGTTCTCTCACGTCACCCCCCTCCTCCGCACACTCCACTGGCTTCCAGTTGAAGCTCGCATCCGTTACAAGACCATGGTGCTTGCCTATGGAGCAGTGAGGGGAACGGCACCTCCGTACCTTCAAGCTCTGATCAGTCCCTACACCCAAACGAGGGCATTGCGTTCATCCACCTCTGGCCTGCTGGCTCCCCTTCCTCTGCGGAAGCATAGTTCCCGCTCAGCCCAGTCAAAACTGTTCGCTGCTCTGGCACCCCAATGGTGGAACAAGCTCCCTCACGACGCCAGGACAGCGGAGTCACTCACCACCTTCCGGAGACATTTGAAACCCCACCTCTTTAAGGAATACCTGGGATAGGATAAAGTAATCCTTCTACCCCCCCCCCCCCCCCCCAAAAATTTTTTTTTCTAAAGTGGTTATCCCACTGGCTATAGGGTGAATGCACCAATTTGTAAGTCGCTCTGGATAAGAGCGTCTGCTAAATGACGTAAATGTGCCCTTGAGCAAGGCACTTAACCCTAATTGCTCCTGTAAGTCGCTCTGAAAAAGAGCGTCTGCTAAATGACTAAAATGTAAATGTAAAATGTAAAGAGAAACTGATATCCCGCTGCCACAGAGCCAGGTTAGGCTAGCTGATAACAGCGCTGGTGAACATACATCTACTCAGATTGGTCTGTGCCGGTTGCACAAAATATTGTACTGGGTCAGCTTAACATACAAGTGATCTTTGGACTCACAGAACTGCCCTCGATGTTAACCTACATGGTAACACAGCATGTTGACTAACAGGAAGCTATTTTCGTGCACCCACACTCCCTTAGTGCACACACCGAATGAATGGACATTGGACACGGCTGGATACATGTTTAGCAAGTCTTGAGAACAACACAACAGTCTGTTTCCACATTACATTACGTTTCTATGCATTTTTTCCTGACACGCTGATATCTTCCTAGGGCAGGGGTCGGCAACGGGTGGCCCGCGGGCCAAAACTGTCCGGCAAGTGATTTATTTGGACCCCCCAAATCTGTTCACCAAGTATTCCCACAAATAAAAAAACAGACGTGATCGTGTCTCAATGTAATCAAGGTAGCCTATGAAATTATTGTTATTTTCGAATACAATCTCTTTTTGGTCTTAGTTGTGGTCAATTTGCAGTGTACAAATTATTATAATTATGTTCCGGCCCCCCGACCATCTGCTCCGCCAAAGATCGGTTAGCGGCTGAAGAAATGTAATATTCAGAGCTCAGCAATTGTTTTGCAATATCTGATGAGTAGCTGAAGTCAGGGTTGCCATGTCTGTGGTTTTCCAGAAAATTGGCCAACTTTGAAAACGATGTCGTGGGTGAAAATGTATTGGTCGCGGGTTTTTGGGCTACTTCTAAGTTGCACGCCATAGCATTTCTCTTAAAGCTGCAATATGTAACTTTTTGGGCGACCCGACCAAATTCACATAGAAATTTGAGTTATAGATCTGTTATTCTCATTGAAAGCAAGTCTAAGAAGCCGTATATCTGTTCTATGTGAATTTGGTCCGTTCGCCCAAAAAGTTGTTCTGTTCTTTTACTTTCGGTTTTGTACACCAGCTTCAAACATCTGAAAATACAATATTTTTGGTTATGGAAAATATATTTCACAGCGGTTTAGATGGTTCAATGATTCTCTACACTATACTTGCATGTTTTGTCACATAAACTGAAATTAGGCGATCTATTAGCATTTTAGCAACCAAGAAATGGTGGAGCGATTTCTGCATAGTGCATCTTAAAAGAATCATATCTATTTCACTGTGACCTGCTGCTGACTATCAGGCAGTGAGGCAGGCTGTTGCTGAGTGAGGGAGTGGTGGGGAGGGCCGGAGGGGGGTGTCTGTGTGTGTTGAGACAGTCCTCTACTGGCTGAGTCACGTGAGTAGCACACATGCACATGGTGACAACTTTTTACCAAATGTAGGTAGGCTATTTAGATTGTCATTATGGAGAGACCCATTTTTTACCAACCCTTTCTCCATAAAACATATTAACACGCTAGAACTGATGTGCATCAAGAAATAACGGCGACAAAGCACTGGAAAACGACTTTGGGCGCACTAGAGCACATTAGATAAATTTGCTCTGAAGCGATTGTCGACTTTGCTTATGGAAAACCGTTTCAAGCTAAGTGTTATACGCATGCTCAGTTCTTGGGTCTCGAGGGCTGCGCGAGTGGACATTTTTAATTGAAGTTATGGAACTCACTCAAGTGCTTCTGTTATGGGGAAAAGTCCTCAATGAAACTGACATTAAATGTGGAGAATGATACATTTGCATCTGTTGGCCATCAAGTAGGCTATTAATTTATATGCCATTGTAGCCTACTATTTGATACAATACATGTTAAAATGACAATATCACTGGAGTCAGTGCAAATACATTTGTGCCACTTGTGTAGACTACCTGGAGCTGGCAAACGGATTTAATAAATAGCCTATAACTTCAGATTATTGTTATTATGCAATTATTAATGGTCATGTTTAGTTAATTAAATTGGAAGTTATCAAAGCTCTATCACAATTGCCGATCAGTTGTTAGAACGCATAATATTTACGGTAACAGTCAGTAAGATTAGGATACAGGTAAAAAAAAAAAAAACACTGGCTGTTGTTGACAAGCATATTCAGTTCACATCCATATAATTAATATTTAATTCAATGATTGAAATTACGACCCCATCCTCAGTAGCCTAATGGGCAACAAGCACTTCTTACCTCGAAATCGCCTCACTATTCATGTTGAATATATTAGTCTGTCAATTTGAACTAAGCAAGCTACTAAATCGTACAGCTTACACCTTGCCTACATCTTACTCTAGGCTATCTGAAAAGAGATATCGGCCTATCAGGGGCTATAGGCTACCTGCACCTAGCTAAGCAAACCATGGCAAAGTTTAATTACAATCATAAACCCAGATTTTTGTCTGTAGCCTGTGCCTATTGAAATGACAAGTCAATCTTGCAAATGGATAGCCCTGAATGCTGATTGGCTGAAAGCTGTGGTATATCAGAGGTATGACAAAACAGTACTTTTTACTGTTCTAATTATGTTGGTAACCAGTTTATATAGCAATAAGGCACCGTGTGGGTTTGTGGTATATAGTCAATATACCACGGCTAACGACTGGCTGTATCCAGGCACTCCATGCTGCGTCATGCATAAGAACAGCTCTTAGCCGTGCTATATTGGCCATATACCACACCCCCTCGTGCCTTATTGCTTAATCATAGCAGTCAAACTAGTTAAATCGACATCCATTGATGGAAAATGATTTGGCGAGTTTACTAAGGGTGAATTACCTTTTCTCTTGCTACATATTCAAATTCCTTTATTATGTCACAACTCGCAATAATTATTATTTTGATGAAAACAGAATTTTACTTCTAACGTTGTTACACGTTACGTTGATACTACTTAATTGGCTCGATAAAGTTATGGGATAGAGTATTGGATAAATGTAGCAACTCCTCACTTGTCGCAGCTAAAAAAATGTGGGCTTGTTTTCAAGCCTTTTGGGCGGGTTTTGAGTGGTCATTGGGCTAGACATTTTTTCAGCAACTGGCAACCCTGGCTGAAGTAGAAAAAGCCTGTGACATTAGGATGGGCCGACTGGATTTTCAGGCCAGATGTTGATAGATTTCTTCAAAAGCGAGCAGTTAGCTCAGGAAGAAAAGCCTCTGTCTGAGATGGAAGGACATTTAGAGTTCAGCATCATTAGTGTGATGCGACGATTTGAACTGATGTAGTTGTGTCAAATGAATTGACACATATGTATGATGTGTAGGAAGAGGGGGAGGAAGCTTTATGGCTAAATTAAAATCAACATACTCGTGCAAGTATGCAGGCACTACAGCCACGAAGAACGTCGTGTTCCATTCAGTTGGTCACATGAAGAGTTAAGGAAACATGATTCTGCAGAATTGACTAACTACTTATAGGTATTTGTAAGATAGATGCGGGCATAGCCATGTCCATTGTTACAAGCCATCACTGGCAATCAGTTCATGGTCATATTTCGTTAACGTCAACATGGGAGGACATTGTATTTAGCTAATGCAAAACACACAAACACAGCAGGTAACCAACCAACTGTTCAGAAGATAGCAAAGTTATGCACAAAAACCGCCACTAACACACCACAAATTCTTTGCTAGGAAGTGTGTTTTTCGGTTACATGTTACGCTATTATGCACAGACACACCACGAAAAAGACGGTGGCAAATTTTAAAACTGGTAAATACGTTACCGAGAACCAGATCGACATGTTTATTGCATCTTTGCAATAAATTCCGAGACCCTCTGAACAACGCAGCCATGCTTCGTTCCCCTTGACCTCGGCGTTTACAGTGACAGCTGACAGACAGGAAGTAAAGGGGAGTTGGTTATGATTGCCTGCTATTTGGACCACTCACTAATCTCAGCCGAGCGCAACAGCCAATGGAAGTCTTCCAAAGGTGGGACATCCTGTGTATTCATGTCTTAAGTCCCTTAACAGTACAGTACAGTGTTTTTTGGGGGACATTAATAAACTGGTCTCAAACGCTTAAATCAATCTTTCGAGTGCAGCCTTTTTGTTTGATACAATATTAGTGAATATTACCATTAAAACTATTCAAACGCAAATCGTTTGTGGTCATTGTCATGTTTAAACATAATATTTGCGGATAAGGGAACCTTGATAATGTTCAACCAAACGTAGTTTTTATCAAAACTTCCTAAACATGCAATTTCGATATTTCCACCAGTCAAAGTATTATTACCAAAATTGATGTGCATGCGCAGTAGAGTATTTTTTTTATTTATTTAAGTTTTTAGATGTACTTTGCGTTTAATGGTGTAATTTTTTGGCTGATTCTCTTGTCCTCTGGCTCTGTGTGTCTTTTTGGTGAATTTGTGACCGTATCTCTATCAAATTGCATGCATGCAGACTCCTGCATCACTGTGTGCAACCTCTATTTCCCAGTGCAATTACAGCAACCGTGAAAATAATCGTACATTAGTCAGAGATATCTACTTATAGTCCTACATTATAAGCATTGTTTTACACTTTCAAATAGATTGTTTCGAGGCATCACATCACTGACATTTTCGCGTGGTGCAACTGGAATCTCTTTCCTCAGCACCACCATCCCATCCCGGAAGTGACACAATCAGTGACAACCATAGCTCAGTGGTTGACAACGGGGCCTGAAGCTGTGTGACAACAAGGGCTTTTGGACTGTCATATGTTGGCTTTCAAAACAACATTTTATGTTGTTTGGATTCATATGTAAGACAGGTAATGAATCGATTTAAACGGAAACAATAGCTGTGATTGTCGTATTGCTAGGGGGTTTGGCCTGCTAGCAAGACAGATAACCCTGAGATTGATGCTAGCTACCTTGTTGTCAGATCAGTTTCGGTAGCTAAAAGGCCATTGAAGGTTAATGCGTACCATAATCAATTCAGTTGTCAATGACAATGACAGTTACTTTAGGGAAACGTTATCTATGCGAACAGTATAGCTAACTAGCTAATCATCCTAAATGTGTTTGTGTCATGCAGGCTATTATAGCTAACCGCTCTCCGTGCGTGTGAAAGTGCCACCTGTGCTGGCTGTGTTGATAGCTAAATTTGGACTTTCATGTTTTGGCGCTCATGCCCTTCAGCTCTTTGCTGCTATACTATAACGTAGTGTGTTTTCTAGTTAACGTGATCTTATGCAGTCTGACGTTTGCCATCATATTGTTATTTCAACATGCGTAGGCAGGCTTGGAATTCTTCCATGTTACATCTCCGTTCACTGCAGCCTACAGGTAGATCTAACAACCTAACAGCGGGGCTCGATCAATTCAAATGTTATTGTAAATGGGTCAAATGTACATTTGATAGGATACATTTGAGGTGTGTATCTATGTGTGTGAGAGAGAGGAGAAAATATGCATGCCTGACCAGACCATATCCCTTCACTATTTTCTCTCCATATTCTCTCACTTCCTTATTTCCCCAGCAGGTCAGACAAATGAAGTGACAAGCAGGATATGATGTCCTCCTTCCAGGTGGTGGGCTCTTCGCCCAGCAGTGGCATCGGTGTCATGGAAACATCAAACTTTGCCCATGTCATCTTCCAGAACGTTAGGAAGAGCTTCCTGCCCCAGGAGGCACTGGAGTGTCGCTACACCCTCACCTCCTACATCACCCCCAACCCCAAAGACTGGGTGGGCATCTTTAAGGTAACACACACACCCTACATCACACCTTAAGAGTTTTTATCTTCGCTCTGCTAATGACTGTTTTTCTCCGCTCATACAGGAGTAATAAACGCCTAGTTCACTAATTTTGTGGATTTGTTTTTTATTAAAATACTTTTTAAAATATATATACACTACCGGTCAAAAGTTTTAGAACACCTACTCATTCAAGGGTTTTTCTTTATTTTTACTATTTTCTACATTGTAGAATAATAGTGAAGACATCAAAACTATGAAAGAACACATATGGAATCATGTAGTAACCAAAAAAGTGTTAAACAAATCAAAATATATTTTATATTTGAGATTCTTCAAATAGCCACCCTTTGCCTTGATGACAGCTTTGCACACTCTTGGCATTCTCTCAACCAGCTTCATGAGGTAGTCACCTGGAATGCATTTCAATTAACAGGTGTGCCTTCTTAAAAGTTAATTTGTGGAATTTCTTTCCTTCTTAATGTGTTTGAGCCAATCAGTTGTGTTGTGACAAGGTAGGGGGTGGTATACAGAAGATATCCCTATTTGGTAAAAGACCAAGTCCATATTATGGCAAGAACAGCTCAAATAAGCAAAGAGAAACGACAGTGCATCATTACTTCAAGACATAAAGGTCAGTCAATACGGAACATTTCAAGAACTTTGAAAGGTTCTTACATTTACATCATTTAGCAGACGCTCTTATCCAGAGCGACTTACAAATTGGTGCATTCAACTTATGATAGCCAGTGGGACAACCACTTTTTTTTGGGGGGGGAGAGGGGGGGGTAGAAGGTTTACTTTATCCTATTCCAGCTATTCCTTAAAGAGGTGGGGTTTCAAGTGTCTCCGGAAGGTGGTGAGTGACTCCGCTGTCCTGGCGTCGTGAGGGAGCTTGTTCCACCATTGGGGTGCCAGAGCAGCGAACAGTTTTGACTGGGCTGAGTGGGAACTGTGCTTCCGCAGAGGTAGGGGGGCCAGCAGGCCAGAGGTGGATGAACGCAATGCCCTTGTTTGGGTGTAGGGACTGATCAGAGCCTGAAGGTACGGAGGTGCCGTTCCCCTCACAGCTCCGTAGGCAAGCACCATGGTCTTGTAGCAGATGCGAGCTTCAACTGGAAGCCAGTAGAGTGTGCGTAGGAGCGGGGTGACGTGAGAGAACTTGGGAAGGTTGAACACCAGACAGGCTGCAGCATTCTGGATGAGTTGTAGGGGTTTAATGGCACAGTCTACACACAGACCGCATGAGAGAGGATAGAGACAGTTCGTGGATCACCACTTTATTTTAAGAATGTGAAATGTCAGAATAATAGTTGAGAGAATGATTTATTTCAGCTTTTATTTCTTTCATCACATTCCCAGTGGGTCAGAAGTTTACATACACTCAATTAGTATTTGGTAGCATTTACTTTAAATTGTTTAACTTGGGTCAAACGTTTCGGGTAGCCTTCCACAAGCTTCCCACAATAAGTTGGGTGAATTTTGGCCCATTCTTCCTGACAGAGCTGGTGTAACTGAGTCAGGTTTGTAGGCCTCCTTGCTCGCACACACTTTTTCAGTTCTTCCCACAAATGTTCTATAGGATTGGAAGTATGCTTTCGGTCATTGTCAATTTGGAAGACCCATTTGCAACCAAGCTTTAACTTCCTGACTGATGTCTTGAGATGTTGCTTCAATATATCCAACTAATTTTCCTTCCTCATGATGCCATCTATTTTGTGAAATGCACCAGTCCCTCCTGCAGCAAAGCACCCCCACAGCATGATGCTGCCACCCCCGTGCTTCACGGTTGGGATGGTGTTCTTCGGCTTGCAACACCCCCTTTTTCCTCCAAACATAACGATGGTCATTATGGCCAAACAGTTCTATTTTTGTTTCATCAGACCAGAGGACATTTCTCCAAAAAGTACAATCTTTGTCCCCATGTGCAGTTGCAAACCGTAGTCTGTCTTTTTTATTGCGGTTTTAGAGCAGTGGCTTCTTCCTTGCTGAGCGGCCTTTCAGGTTATGTCGATATAGGACTCGTTTTACTGTGGATATAGATACAGTGGGGGAAAAAAGTATTTAGTCAGCCACCAATTGTGCAAGTTCTCCCACTTAAAAAGATGAGAGAGGCCTGTAATTTTCATCATAGGTACACGTCAACTATGACAGACAAATTGAGAATTTTTTTTCTCCAGAAAATCACATTGTAGGATTTTTTATGAATTTATTTGCAAATTATGGTGGAAAATAAGTATTTGGTTACCTACAAACAAGCAAGATTTCTGGCTCTCACAGACCTGTAACTTCTTCTTTAAGAGGCTCCTCTGTCCTCCACTCGTTACCTGTATTAATGGCACCTGTTTGAACTTGTTATCAGTATAAAAGACACCTGTCCACAACCTCAAACAGTCACACTCCAAACTTCACTATGGCCAAGACCAAAGAGCTGTCAAAGGACACCAGAAACAAAATTGTACATTTTACATTTACGTCATTTAGCAGACGCTCTTATCCAGAGCGACTTACAAATTGGTGCATTCAACTTATGATAGCCAGTGGGACAACCACTTTTTTTTGGGGGGGGAGAGGGGGGGGTAGAAGGTTTACTTTATCCTATTCCAGCTATTCCTTAAAGAGGTGGGGTTTCAAGTGTCTCCGGAAGGTGGTGAGTGACTCCGCTGTCCTGGCGTCGTGAGGGAGCTTGTTCCACCATTGGGGTGCCAGAGCAGCGAACAGTTTTGACTGGGCTGAGCGGGAACTATGCTGGGAACTATTGTAGACCTGCACCAGGCTGGGAAGACTGAATCTGCAATAGGTAAGCAGCTTGGTTTGAAGAAATCAACTGTGGGAGCAATTATTAGGAAATGGAAGACATACAAGACCACTGATAATCTCCCTCGATCTGGGGCTCCACGCAAGATCTCACCCCGTGGGGTCAAAATGATCACAAGAACGGTGAGCAAAAATCCCAGAACCACACGGGGGGGACCTAGTGAATGACCTGCAGAGAGCTGGGACCAAAGTAACAAAGCCTACCATCAGTAACACACTACGCCGCCAGGGACTCAAATCCTGCAGTGCCAGACGTGTCCCCCTGCTTAAGCCAGTACATGTCCAGGCCCGTCTGAAGTTTGCTAGAGTGCATTTGGATGATCCAGAAGAGGATTGGGAGAATGTCATATGGTCAGATGAAACCAAAATAGAACTTTTGGGTAAAAACTCAACTCGTCGTGTTTGGAGGACAAAGAATGCTGAGTTGCACCCAAAGAACACCATACCTACTGTGAAGCATGGGGGTGGAAACATCATGCTTTGGGGCTGTTTTTCTGCAAAGGGACCAGGACGACTGATCCGTGTAAAGGAAAGAATGAATGGGGCCATGTATCGTGAGATTTTGAGTGAAAACCTCCTTCCATCAGCAAGGGCATTGAAGATGAAACGTGGCTGGGTCTTTCAGCATGACAATGATCCCAAACACACCGCCCGGGCAACGGAGGAGTGGCTTCGTAAGAAGCATTTCAAGGTCCTGGAGTGGCCTAGCCAGTCTCCAGATCTCAACCCCATAGAAAATCTTAGGAGGGAGTTGAAAGTCCGTGTTGCCCAGCGACAGCCCCAAAACATCACTTCTCTAGAGGAGATCTGCATGGAGGAATGGGCCAAAATACCAGCAACAGTGTGTGAAAACCTTGTGAAGACTTACAGAAAACGTTTGACCTGTGTCATTGCCAACAAAGGGTATATAACAAAGTATTGAGAAACTTTTGTTATTGACCAAATACTTATTTTCCACCATAATTTGCAAATAAATTCATAAAAAATCCTACAATGTGATTTTCTGGATTTTTTTTCTCATTTTGTCTGTCATAGTTGACGTGTACCTATGATGAAAATTACAGGCCTCTCTCATCTTTTTAAGTGGGAGAACTTGCACAATTGGTGGCTGACTAAATACTTTTTTTCCCCACTGTACATCCACAGGTACACCTCCAATTGACTCAAATGATGTCAATTAGCCTATCAGAAGCTTCGAAAGCCATGACATCATTTTCTGGAATTTTCCATGCTGTTTAAAGGCACAGTCAACTTAGTGTATGTAAACTTCTGACCCACTGGAATTGTGATACAGTGAATTATAAGTGAAATAATCTGTCTGTAAACAATTGTTGGAATAATTACTTGTCATGCACAAAAAGTATAGTTTGTTAACAAGACATTTGTGGAGTGGTTGAAAAACAAGTTTTAATGACTCCAACCTAAGTGTATATAAACTTCCGACTTCAACTGTTGCTCTATCCGGTTGATGTTTATAGCAGTCTTGAAAGTATGCCTTATGTACTTTGAAGAACTAGTCAAAATGATTTCGTCCAACAGCTCTGCAGCATACTTAGCCAGGAAGCTAGTAGCCTAGCTAAATAGGATGACTCAAAGACAGTATTTTATGGCGAGCACAAAGTCATCAAATTAAAACTAAGTAATATACACAACTGAAATATGTTATTATTTCAGAGTAATGTCCTCTTTTTCTAATGATGTCTACCCAATGTGGACCTGACAGAGACAATGGAATGTTTCAATGTTTTGGCAATTGAATGTTCACAATTTTTGGCTTTGAATTTCCATTAAAAAGCTCTAAAATCATTTTTATGTCATTATTTCATAATGCATTTAATGCTTTAAAAAATGTAAACCGAAATCAGACATTATTTTTTTTAATTAAACGAACCGAAACCGAACCGACCTCAAGAAGCACTAATCACTCAGCACTATTAGCCACTGACAACCGAAAGATCGCTAACTGTCTGAAATGTAGCTAGTAAGCTAGCTAGCTCACTGGCCAGGCAATATCCACTAGCCAGCTAATTGTGGATGTATGATCAGCCAACACCCAAGAGTGGAAGCACTGGAATTACATAAATTGCAGCTAATTTGGTAATTGGCTAGATGTAGCAGTCATGGCATTACTAGGCAGACTGAGTTTGCTGCCTGTCATTCCAGCTCATACAACCAGGCTAATGGGACTACTTGATCTATGTAGCATAGTGACACACCAAAATTCAGAGGAGTATTGGAGCGTACGTTAATGTCAGAAGATAACCACACTCTTGCGACCAAAAAATGCTAGCTTTTTAAGTGAAAAATATAGAAAATAAAATGTTGGGATCTGTTTTATAAGCGCATTAATGCTTACTCATGACCCACAAACTAAAAGATAGGCCATTAGGCCTCCTCACGTCTTTCCTCTTTCATCAACCTGATTCTCTTCTCCCTGTTTCCTTCCACAGACATTTTTCCAGTAGCTGTGGTGTGGCTATTTA